TAGAAAGAGCACAACATGGTATGTGTTTATGATGTGTGAAGCACCTATTTCATGGTGTTCTAGGAAGGAGTCAGTGGTGGCATTGTCCTTGTTGAGTTTAATGTATTTTATAGTGTTAATTATTACCTTCTTTTTGTGACATCCTTTCACTGATGTTGGGGGCTACATCAAGGATCAGATTGCTATCTCTCCCTTTTTGTCTTATCTTGTACTTTCTAGATACACACACACACATATATATATAAGTTTTGGAGCTAAGTGTATTACATACACTTCAGCTTTTCTCTCAAATTTCTTCAAGTTCTTCAACTTGGTATTAGAGTAGGTTCGACCCGCTCTGCCTGTCATCGTCCACTTTCACTATTTGCATCCCCGACTGTCGCTCGTCGTCTCCGATTGTCATCCACTGCCGACCATTTTTTGGCAAACCCTAGGAGTTGATATGCCTTGTCAAAAACAACCCAACCCAAGTGGTCACAGGGGCAAAAGTCTCTTCACATCTCACACACTACATCTTTGGGGGCGGCTCTACCAGGAACGTACTGTTCTTACACTTATCTCCAGCCACCGAAAAATGGCCACGCCATCACCAGTTCTTCATTGGCACCTTTTGGGTCTATTTCAAAGTTATCCTTCCTATTTTCTTGTCTATTTGGAGAATGGGTCTATTTCTCTTTTTCTTTTGGGCCTTTTCATCTATTACAACATGACAAACTTTGGCCCTACTTTTTCCATTTCTGGAACTCCCACAATAACCTTGGAGAAACTAAATGGCAAGAACTACCTATCTTGGTCTGCCTCTGTGGAGCTATGGTTTCTTAGTCAGGGATATCATGACCATTTGGAGAAGGCTATTGCTGAAATACCCTTCGAGAGTCAAGAACAGTGGAAAAAGCTTGATTTCCAACTGTGTGCTTTGTTGTGGCAATCCGTAGAGCCCAACATTTTAGGAATCTTGAGGAACTCCAAAACTTGTCATTCCTTTTGGAAGAAAGCCCAAAATATAATTGTCAATGACATTATACGTCTATATGATTCAGCTCACAAATTAGCATCCTTCAAACAAACTAATGATGACATGGCCTCCTTTGTTGCCCAAGCACAATTAACAATTAAGGAGCTAAAATTGTTTTTAGAAGTTGATTCTATGGAAGAGATGAAGAAGAAACTTGATAAGTTGTGTATGGTGTTGATTTTGCGTGCCATGAACTTTGATTTTAATCATATTCATTATTAGATTTTGACAAGTCAGGAAATCCCTTCAATGGAGAACATTGTAACGCGTCTTCTTCGTGTTTCAAGTTCAAAAGATAGTGGAAGTTTGGCAGAACCTACTGAATCTTCAACAATGGTTTCTACTCAAGGAAGAGGAGGTTGTGGAAATCATGGAGGACATGGTGGCAGGAGTGGTCTCCCCCAATGCTCATATTGTAAAAGAATGGGTCATACTCAAGAGACTTGTTATTCATTGCATGACTTTCCTGGAAAAACTGCCAATGTCTCCAAAATTGAGACTCCAAATCTTATCAGAAATTTTTTGAGGATGAATATCAAGAATATCTTCAGTTGAAATCCAATAGTCAAGCTCAATTTTCCTTTGTTCCTAATATTTATCAACATGCATTTCTCAATCCATGGAGAGTCAAGGTCCATATGTATAGTAATATTTCCTTGTTATCTTTTATTTCCTTACCTAAAGTTCCACATTCCATCACCTTGGCTAATGGATCCAAAGTCATTTCCCAAGGAGTTGGCCAAGTCTCTCACACCTTCCTTAAACTTAAAATTTGTCCTCTTTGTTCCTAAATGTGCCTTTAATTTAATTTCTTTAAGTAAATTAACCCTTATTGAATTGTTTTGTAACCTTTGATGCTAATTCCTTTGTTCCATTTCTTGAGTCAGTATTGACCTCGTCTCCTGAAACTTCCAACCAAAACATAGATCCAAATCCTTCTCTAACTATCAGCCCACCTGAACCATCTTCACCACCTTTCATCACTTACCAACGAAGGACATAAAGGGGCAACTCAACACATCATGGAGAGCCATCTGTTTCATGTTCTTCACAATCAACTGCACCTACCACAATTCCCAATGATGAAGATTCTAGTTGGCCAATTGCTCTTCGAAAAGGTATTCGATCTACTCAAAATCCTCATCCTATTTATAATTTTTTTGAGTTACCATTGTTTATCCTCTTCATATTTTTCCTTTGTTTCATCCTTGTCTTCTATCACCATTCCTAAAAAATATCAATGAAGCACTTGCTTATCCTAGATGGCAACAATCCATGGTTGTTGAAATGCAAGCTCTTGAAAGTAATGGGACACGGGAATTGGTCCCTCTTCCACCTAGGAAAAAAATAGTTGGTCACAAATGGGTTTATGCCATCAAAGTTGGGCCTAATGGTGATCTTGATAGACTTAAGGCTAGATTGGTGGCCAAAGGATACACTCATATCTATGGCCTTGATTATGGTGACACTTTTTCTCTTGTGGCCAAAATCACTACTATTCGGCTCTTTCTTGCTATGGTTGCTATTCGACATTGGCCCCTCCATCAGTTAGATATTAAAAATGCCTTCCTCCATGGTGATTTGGAAGAAGAAATCTATATGGAATAACCTCCTAGATTTGTTGCATAGGGGGAGTGTGGATTAGTTTGTAAATTGCATCAATCTCTCTATGGGCTCAAACAATCTCCACAAGCTTGGTTTGGAAAATTTAGTCACGTTGTATAGATTTTTGGGATCACTCAGGTTTTTATTGTCATACCTCTAAAATGTGTTTATCTAATTATGTATGTTGATGACATAGTTATTACAAGAAATCATTTTGTCAAGATTTCCCAGCTGAAAAGGCATTTAATCGGCCACTGAGACCAAGGATCTCGGTTGTCTTAAATACTTTTTTGGTATTGAGGTGGCTAAATCAAGGGAGGGCATTGTTATTTCACAAAGAAAGTATGCTCTACATATTCTGGAGGACACAAGCATGATTAATTGCAAGCCAATTGATAGTCCTATGGACCCAAATAAAATGTTAGTGGCAAACCATGGTGAGCCATTCTCAAATTTAGAGGGATATACAAGGCTTGTTGGAAAACTTATTTATCTCACGATCACCAGACCTAACATCTCCTTTGCAGTTGGAGTTGTCAGTTAATTCATGCAAGTTCCTTATATTGATCATTGGAATGTTGTGATTCACATTCTTAGGTACATCAAGAAGTCTCTGGGACAGGGACTATTGTATGAGGATAAGGGAAACACCCAAATTTATGGTTATTGTGATGCTATTAGTGTATAAAATCAAAACAAAAAGGGAATATTTGTTTTGATTTTATACACTAATAGATGCTGACTGGGCAAGATCTCCTATAGACAGACGCTCTACTACAGGATATTGTGTTTTTATTGGAGGAAATATCATTTCTTGGAAGAGCAAGAAATGATATGTTGTTACTCAATCTACTGAAGAAGCAGAATATAGAGCTATGGCTACAAACACTTGTGGGTTAATATGGATTAAGAAACTCCTTCAAGAATTAAAGTTTTGTGATATTAAGAAAATGAAGTTGTATTGTAACAGCCAGGCAACTCTCCATATTGCTTCCAACCCAGTGTTCCATGAAAGAACAAAACATATAGAAATTGATTGTCACTTTGTTCGACAAAAGTTGTTATCCAAGGAGATTGGTACTGAATTCACCAGTTCAAATGATCAACTAGCAGATATTCTTACCAAGTCTTTGAGAAGGCCTCAGATTAATTTCACATGTTCCAAGCTTGAAGCATACAATTTATATGCTCCAACTTGAGGGAGAGTGTTGAGTTTAATGTATTTTATAGTGTTAATTATTACTTTCTTTCTTTTTGTAACATCCTTGCAAAGATGTTGGTGATTGTATCAAGGATCAGACTGCTATCTCTCCCTTTTTGTCTTATCTTGTACTTTCTAGATACACATACATATATAGAAGTTGGAGCTAAGTGTATTACATACACTTCAGCTTTTCTCTCAAATTTCTTCAAGTTCTTCAAATGTCCTCATGTGAGGTTGAATACATTTCAGCCTCAATGGGTGCTTGTCAAGCCTTGTGGCTTGAGAATTTGGTGACAGAAATGAAGATTAGAAGAGAAAAACCTATGAAGTTGCTAATAGATAATAAGTGAACTATATGTTTGGCTAAACATCCTTTTGCTCATGGTAGGAGCAAGCATATTGAGACAAGATTCCATTTTCTTAGAGATCAGGTCAATAAAGGGAAGCTAGAGTTGAAATATTGCAACACAGATGAACAAGTGACTGATATTTTGACAAAACCTCTTAAGGTTGAATGTTTCAAGCTATTAAGAGATGTGATTGGGGTGAAGTCTATTGCTAATCTGGATTGAGGGAGAGTGTTGTGGATTATTTAGTTAGTTAGTGCTTTTATGTTAGGTAGTTAGTGGGTTGTTAACTAATTGCATGTAACTCTGTACCACAAATATTGCTGCTATATGTGACAAATAGATTGTGAGAAATATTAAGTGTCAAATTCAGCACCATATCTTTATCTCTCTCTCCCTCTTCTTTGTTTTTTTTTCTTTTGTGTGTTATAACACTTGTTATATAAATTATTGACTCAACAAACCTATGCAACATGATAAACAAAGCATACTTAACTACCATTTCCCAATAAGATGCTACTCCAACATTCACCCAAATACATTCATTCTATGATCTTATATTGTATGTTCATTAATCCATTTTACTTAAAAGTATAAAATAAATAGGTTAAATGGTGAACCTTAGAGATCAATTTGCCTTGAAACATTGTCATCTCTTTTTATTAATTAGAAAAATTATTAGACATTCTGGAAAAGTACAAAGGAAATAAGGAGGAAGAATTCCCATCAGTGGTAGCATAAATATTTTATCCAATAAAGATTTTATGACTTAAGGGGAAAAGGAAAGGAAAATAAAAAGATCAAATATATTCCTTCATAAAAATTATACCTTCAAATTGCATTGGGGATTGACATTGCTAGTTTGTTCAAGAAAGTTGGTAGAAGATGAGGACACCTTTGGCTTTTTACAAGGAACTTGCACTACATTGTCAGACGCAATCTTGATATCATTCAAGGAATGTGATTTACTTCTTAGATTGGATTGCAAATGATATGTGGCAAAAACGGGGTCTACCACCTGTTTTATGTTTAAATAGTTAGTAACATGTCTAAATACCATAAATAAGAGTGTGCTTGTATAAACGTTCAAACTTCGTTGAAGATCAATCCTTAAAATTCCTTGGTCACAATTTGTTTATAAGAATGTGTGGAATGGATGTTCAAACAATAAAACAAATATGCACTAAATCTTCAAGACATCAAAGCATATTGCATAACAATTAAAGTAAGTAAACACATGCAAACTTTGAAATGGAAGCCATGATAAATAAATTAAATAGAAATTGTTGAATTCAAAGATTTTAGATAGTGAAGGAGAAAAGGAGATCATAGAGAATCAAAATAATATAAGATTGATATTATTATGATGTAATGAGGTGATTATAAGTGATGACCCAATAACCCTATTTATACTAAATATAGAATCCTAGTCCTAATTAAATGAAGAAACAAATCACAAAATCACTAGGGGTGAAAAGTTGAAGTAATATGTACAGAGTCCTCGATTCGAACCCTATTATGGTCATCATTGTAATTCCTATGGATAAAAAGAAAAGAAACAAATCATAAAATATAAAAGAATAAATCCAAAGTGATGAGGGCAATGCATCTAGGACAAAGGTTGAGCCATTGCATCAAGGACAAAGACGAGACCAATACAAATTGCAAAATATATCCCAAGAAAGTCAAAATACCATGTTGAGGTGGTGAATAGATGGGCATTATAAATGAACAAAATCTGCTTGAAATTCACCTGAAAAGGGGAGGATAGCTAACGAAGGAGACCATGAATCAAATGGAAAGGGAAATTAACATAGCCACAAGAAACATGTAAAAACCCAAAATGGCATGCGCACAAGCTTCTCACTCAAAAAAGCCTAGATGGGGCTAAAAATGGTTGGTCTTGGTTGGCCTTGATATGGTGACCATGACACAATGAGCAACAGTTGAAATGGTTGGATTATTGCCCAACAAAATTGTAGGATGCCCATGAAAAGGACAACAACATTGTCAATGGGGAATGTGTCAATCTTGAGGGATACACCTAGTGGTGTGGTCAGTTGCTAAAGATGTAACAGGAATAGTGGGCGACTAATGGTGGCAAATGAAAGGGAAAGCCATATGAAAAACATAGTTTGACAACATGAGCAAACAAAGGTGACTAGTTGGAGCACCAAAACTTTTATGTTTTGTTATTTTGAGTGGTGTAATAGTGATGAAACAAGTCATGAAGCATGATACTGCTCTAATACCATGTTGAATTTGAAAATTTTAGGTAGGTTGGAAGAAAATGAGATAGTAGAGAATCAACATAATATAAGATTAATATTATTATGATGTAATGAGGTGACTACAAAAGACAACTCAATAGTCCTATTTATTCTAAATATAGAATACAGAGAAACAAATCATAGAATATAAAAGAAGAATAAATCCTAAGAGATCATCTAGGATACTCTTATAATATTTGAGATATAAAAAAGATATCAAATATTTCTCAAATTTTCTAACAAAAATAATCAAATATTCACATTTAGAATTCCCTAAACTAAATCCTCACTTGAATATTGAGAGATTTGGTTTTAGGGAAAATTGGTGTGTATGTCTTACTCCACTAATGTATATATCTATATATATGAAGTTTGAAAAGGAAGGTACAAATAGAGAAAAAGGCTACAACCTATGTCACCTACTCCATCACCTAGATAAAACAAAAGGAAGCTTTTATAAAGGTGTACAACAGATATTAAAAGACTATTTTAACTCCCCCTCACGTTGGAGCATACATATTGTATGTACCAGGCTTGGAACATAAAAATTGGATTTGAGGTCCCCATAAAGATTTAGTCATAATATTCCCATGTTGATCAATAGAGTTAACAAATTCAATCATAATCTCCTTGGACAGCAGCTTCTCCAACAAAATGGAAATCAACCTCTATATGTTTAGTTCTCTCATGCAACACTAAATTAGAGGTAACATGAAGGACAACCTGATTATCACAATACAAATTTATTGGTTGAACTCCACAAAATGTTAACCCCTAGAGGCGTTGATTAATCCATACAAGTCCACAAGCAACCAAAGCTATAGATCAACATTTTGTTACAACATTGGATCGAGCAACAACATTTGTTTCTTACTCTTCCAAGGGATGAGACTTCTACCGGTGAATACTCAGTATCCAATAGTAGGACATCAATCTATAGGACATACTGCCAATAAGCATCAAAGTACCTAGAAACTTGATTGTATCCTTTGTCCTCATACAACAACCCTTGTCCTAAAGCCATTTCGATGTATCTAAGAATGCGTATAACAACATTCCAATGATCAATATGAAGGACACATATGAATTGACTAACAATCCTACTACAAAAGAAAGATCAAGTTTTGTTATTGTAAGATAAGTATGTTTAACAACCAATCTCCTATATCTCTCCGAGTTGTGAATGGTTCACCGTGATTAGCCATCAACTTTTGATTAGGATCCATAGGACTATCATTGGGCCTACAATCAATCAATGATGTTTCCTTCAAGGTCTAGAGTTTACATCTTTCGTGAAATCAAAATATCTTCCTTCGATTGGACAACCTTAATACCCAAAAAGTATTTTAATATCATTTGTCTAAAAATGAAAAAATAAGTGCTTTTTCAACTGAGAAATTTTAGTAGCATCATTCCCTGTAATCACTGTCATCAACATAAACAATCAGATAAACATAGTTCCTAGGAGAAGTATGACAATAGAAAACTAAATGGTCTACTTACTTCTCGTTAACCCAAAGTCCTACACCACATAGCTAAATTTTCTAAACCAAGCTTGAAGAAATTGTTTGAGACCATAAAGAGAACTCCATATCTTGCAAACTAAACTAGACTCCCCATGAGCAATAAACCTAGGGGTTTTCCATCTAGATCTCTTCATCTAGCTCACCATGAAGAAAAAAAATTTCAATGTCTAATTGGAGGGGAGGCCAATGGTGAATAGCTAACATAGCAAGTCAAGTTGTAGGGATTTTGGTCACGGGAGAGAAGGTGTCACCATAATCAAGACCATAAATTTCAGTGTATCCTTTAGCCACCAATCTGGCTTTGAGCCAATCATCTACACCATCAGGGCCAACTTTAATGGCATAAACCCATTAGCATCGAACTAGTGTTTTGTCGGAAGAAAGTGGAATCAACTCCCATCTACCACTATGCTAAAGGGCCTACATCTCAACAATCATGACATGTACCACTATCAGGTTTTTTATTTATTTTATCAAATCAATCATCATCTAGAACATTTTTGGTTCTTCCACTATAACTTGAGCTTTAGCAATGTGAGAAATCATTTCATGGTTAGTCTATTTGAGAAAGGCTAATTTTTGGGCAGCATCATACAGCCATTGAATATCCCTTGCATAAATGTTTTGAGCCTTCTTCCAAAAGGAACAATGGGTTTTGAAAGCTCTAAGAGTTCCCAAAATATTTGGTTCGATAGACTACCACAACAAAGAATATAATTGAAGATTAAGCTTCTTCCATTGAGCCCAATTTTTCATTCGATCCCTCAATGGCTTCCCTCCCTAGATGATCATGGTGCCATTGACCAAGGAACCATAGTTCCACAAAGGAAACCCTAGATGAATAATTTTTACCATTGAGTTTCTCTGTAGTTATGATGGGAGTACTAGAGACGAGTAAAACAAGGCCTTGGCGACAAATAGAATTGAATCGTCAGACAACAGCTAACAACAACAAACTATATGGAACAGCTGTGTAGGATCGTACCTACTCTTATACCAACTTGAATATCGAGAGATTTTGGTTTTAGGGAAAATCAATGTGTATGTCTTACTCCACTAATATATATATATATATATATATATAGACGCTCTACTAC